TGATCCGAGAAACACTCATGTTTTGTCGGTTTACTAGATGAGCAAATTACACAAAACTAACTAAACTTCAAATCAATAGGCAAACATAGAATTCTCCACCATTACATCATTGTAATTCTCACCGGAACTCGAAAGTGTCCGAAACTTTGAATGAGAGATCCTCTGTGCGACTTGAGGCGTTTTCTTTGCAACTCCGTATGAGATTCCGTATAACCACTTAGCAGAGGTAGTGCCTACAGAAAACCTCCGTTACAAGCGCACACCGGACTTCTATGCATGACTGCATGGGCGATGAGTTGGGACTGCTCAAAAACATTTTGGAATAAAGTGCGTATGCTTCGTGCTCCATTGAATCACATGCGAAAGAGGTGCGGTAATCCCAGCAAGTGTGACACTAGATCTAAAAAGCACATCCACTCAGTGCTTTTATTCAAGGCAGGCGGCACATTGAAAACGGCAACACAGTGTCCTGCAGCAGCCACAAAGCGGACATACAGAAGCCCTAAATCAAGGGTTGCCAATCTATAGAGGACATACCAATTTACATATAAGTGGGGATTAGATTAGATAGATATCTCATCGCCAGAATGAGGGAGTACTTTCGTGTGTAGACTTAGACTGCTCTTTCCACAATCCCGGATAGTCCTCCATAACCAAACATCCGCTTACCACAAGCCATCAAGCACATCAGTATCCTTCACCGCCACGGTGTTCTGAGATTTGCCAGGGCTGGTGCAATAAATCAATCAAAGCTTTCACTCTTTATCCAGAAGCAGCCTGATGTATTCCTCAATCTGTCCTAGACCTGCTGCTGATTTTGTCTGACCAATCATGTCTGAATCATGCGGTGAACCTCGTGTAAAAAATTACTTTAAAAACACCGAATATACACTCACTCATTTGCAAACTAATTTGGTTTTGCGAGTGATTCATCTGCAATCCAGCTGAATCTCTAGTTTGTGATGTTTCCAGGCTAAGTCCTATTTGATGAAACCTTATGAGTAGTGCATTGCAAATATACGTTAAAACCAGTTTTCCGGTTATCGGCCTGGATACTGATGAGTCAATAGACAATACTAAGTGGTCTGCTGGAGTAGTACTGAAATAGTATTCTGTGTCTTTGACATTGTTCCAAGTGCAGCAAGGGCCACCTTGGGTCGTCAGGCTTGATGTTTGTTTTAGTTAAAAGATCCGAGGAATTGTGAGCCACAAAATCTTTCCCTTGGCAAATACGGGGTGTTTAGTGTATCTTTGAGTATTCATGAATTGTTTTGTTAACACCAGTCTTGTACACAGACGAAACATATTTGTACCGGAAGTGTCTGGACACAAACAAGTTGTGAGGACGAAGATGAAGAGCAATTTGTTTCGGAACAGGTGCCAAATACTGGATATCGCATTTCAATAATGATACGGGGACGAGATTTAGAAGTCGGTTGAGAACAAATCAGGCTATCCGGTGATTATGACAGACCGCACATAGGATTTTCAGGAATTTGAAGGTAATGCGTCATTCAGTGTTTATCTGGTTGTAACTGTGCCTGATTACCTGGATAGAGGAGTGATGTATCCAGTTGAAGAGTACGACGAAACTGTTGATCTTTTCGACAATTGATGAGTGAAAACGTCCAGTTTGAGGTGGCCTACCTTATTTCTCTACCAGCGATGTAAATCGGAGTCGAGGATACGGACTTGTATTCGACAAGGTTGACTTTGTGACTATGGAATTCAAGCTCCTTGCCTCGAACCTCGACTTGCCAACGACTGAGTTCTCCGAACTTGTGCCGTTTCTCTAGGAGCAGCACAACAGATGCATCTCTGATCGTTAGCGCCTCTTTCTTATATCCGTACTCATGCTCAGGTCAATCAGTTCTTGGCTTCGACAACACATTGAGCCATTCCAAATCCATCTGGATGCTGTTACCAGTCCAACGCACAACACATTGGCTGATTAAAGGATTGACCTTTCAGTACAGAAAGCAAGAGTACACTACTCATCGCTGTTAGCTCACTACTTTCGGGGCCCACCTTCAGTAAGTGTGGGAATTTCGAATCGTAAAGACCAAAAGCTCCGATCCCTTTCTTATTATACGTCGGTACAAAATCATCCACTATAGATGTAATTGCTTCAAGTGACAGAAAGATGCCACTCTCGGAGTTGAACGTAACAACTTCTTTAAAGTCTTTTGATTTTGTTTAAAAAGCTGATGGATTTAACTACGCTTTCCACGACTTCCTTCGGAAACAGCGAGATTCCTGTGGAGAAACTAGTCCTTAGTCATAAGTCTCATTTCCCCTCATGAGGAAATGCTAGCGATTTGATGGTAATCCGTTGTGCGCAGTTAATTTCGTAGGCTCATCGTGGATTAACCTTAGTATGATGAACACGATTGATACTCTTCACTAGTCTCTTCTTTTAATATTCCATATGCTGTACCGCCAGTTCGAATACATACGTGCTAATTGTTACGCTGGCCTGAATTCTGAATTTCTAATTCGTCTGGTTGTCTGATATACTAGCGGAACTCAATTCTCACTTGATAGCCGGTACTGGGAATTTATTATCTGGTCCACCGTTAGACGATCGTCTGACTATTCTCTTCTGGTTAACACAAGGCACCAAAGCTTCCGTCGTCAGGTCACAGCGCGCACGAACTGAGGTGTGTCATGTCACATCGTTGGTAAGGTCATCTAGGGTAAGAGTTATCTAAAATGTTTGTTCTGCGCCCTCCCCCCCAGTTGGAAAAGCAATTCAGGCGAAATGTGGCAACTAGGGGAAAAGTAACATTTATTTAATATTCGGCAGGAATCTGGGTTAGCGATCTGCTGTTTAGCCGTTGTACATCAAGAGCGTGAATCCACGCAGTGAGGTTCGGTAAAGTTCGCTCTACCAGGGCAATTGATGCGGTCAAGTGAAGTTCTGTTCGGTGAACGGGAATCTCAACTTGCATTTAGGTATTCTGAGCGGTATTTCCACTCTGTTCGACGTTTACTTATTGTAATATTGGTGTAGCATTACATGTGCGTACGCGATAGCTGGTGTTCATTATCCAAAACTGTTTTGAGTGCTAAAAGTGGAAGCGCCAATGCTTTTGGCGCTTTAGTCGAATTAGCGCACTAATTTGCTTGCGATGGGCAAAATTGCCGTTCGCATAGCCTTCTTCAACTGAATATGTATGTGGAATCTCCGAAAATGTACCGAGAGTAACAGGAAATGGGTCCGTAGGGCACATTCAATTGAAGAAGACACCTTCTTTAAAGAGAGATTCAGGTAGATTCGGTTGGATCTCCTGTCAGAACCAAAGTTGTATGCAAACAAGATGGAAATTTGACGACTGTGCTTACAAGATAAGTCCCAAGAAGGACAGAACCCACAATGTGCTGTCGAAATCTTCAGTAAACTCATGAGCAGCGTGTTACGTCTAGAATGGACGGAGCTCAGGAGAAGTAGCTTTTCATCTTTACAGACGAATTCGGTATTTTGGAAAGTGAGTTGTGACGTGGTCTCTCCACACAATTAAACATTTGCGCGTTTGTTCAGCCTTTGGTGTTTGAATGTTTACTCATTTCTCAAGGATTTATAAAGAACCGCTTGATAGTATGCAGCTGACAGCACTTGCCTTCATTCCGTTGATGTTTGGTGCAGTTTCGCTACTGGATGAGAGACTTTTATTCACAGAGGATTCACCAGAATCTTGTCACTCGTGGCTGGGTGTAATCAGTAAACACAAGGGGCGAGATGGCCTAAGTGGTTAGAGCGCGAAGTTACTAACCGGAACCCGACCTCTGCCTCTCGATTTCCTCTGTCTAGGCTTGGGCAACCTGGCAGTATCGTGCAACCTTCGGATGGCATGGCAGTTAGGCACTGAAAAAGTGCTACAGATGAACGTTTTTTTCAGTAAACACAAGACGTCTCGTTGAGAACAATTGTGATCGTATTAAAAAAACTTGGCTTGAATCCGCAGTTCCTATTTTGGGTTTTCTTACATACGGTTTGAAGTCGTGATTAGGCCAGCTACGTTTGCTAACAAGGCTGGGGCAGTTCGAGCTGCGGAGTTGAAATCCAAGCGTTTGAAAACAACTTTTGGAGGTTAAATGAGGATAACGGAGGTGGGGAGTGAGTGCATATCAACGTATTGGATGAAAACCTTCAGAACTCATTAGTATCATACTCCAGTGTGGTCTTGCACAAACTGAGGAGAACTCAGTGATTTAATGTGATCGCATATTCAAAGGCTGGTGATTGGGCGGAACCAATCGCAGCCATGACAACAAACGGACCAATCAAATTCAGACGAATCTCAGATATAAAATTGGTCGCATGCAACATAACCAGACTCATGCCTGGAGATGAAGCAAGTTGTCGAGATCGGTTGTTCACTTGGCCTGCCTTTGCTACATATTTGTGCGTGTTCATATCTGTTTTGTCATAGTCTCGCTTTCAAGTGAGCGACAGGACGAAAGTTTTCGATGATGGAGTTTTAGGGTTGATCTTTATTATCCACCGTCTGACGACAATCAGAACATACCCCACAGTCAACGTTCTCTTGCGGAAATTGAGGTAACCCCGTTGAGCACAATTTCTACCTCTGTGTTTTAGAAGCCACTTGTCACACACATAAGTATCGGATCGCCGTGGCAAAATTTCACCGTAGCTATAGATCTGCAGTCAGACATCCTTGTTTTGCCGTCAACGACCTGTATCCCTCGGTTTTGGCGAAGCAGTCGTAAGTTTAATCCAGGGGTGTCACACACACTAATCCCGTTGGGCTCACCATTTGTTCATGGAGCCAGCTCAGGTGAACTTTATTCGGACGTCTTATACGTAACTCTACCTAGCTGCAGTAAACCATTTGTGACAGATTAAAGAGCGCTTTGTTGGCTACGTTTCTTTGGGACTTGCTAGATATCAAACGGGGCAATCGGTCGAAATTCCTGGTGTCGACGGAAGTCTCGGTTTGCTTTTCGCTCCAAAAACAGCTGGTGTCACGCACACTTTGATGGAAATCGTTGTGTCTGGTCGTCCTGTTGGTTATGCAGACATCTTTACTGTATACTTTAAAAGGTAAGGCGACTATTGTTCATGTTCAAATTGGTTCGGTTCGTGCATAATCTGACTGGTGACTTACCACATTTTGTTTCAGTGAACCTGAGCATGGTGCACAAAACTTACCAGTGGCCGAGCTGTTTTTGGGAAGAGTTCCTTTCGACGACTGGATAGGGCCAGACATCTTCATTCCGCTGCATGAAGCGCCCACATGGAGTATCCACATTCAGTGGTAGGTTTCTAGTTTTTGTGCACTGTAAACCATCTTGGAAGGCCCATGTTATTTGAATAGATTTCGGCACTCGACGTTCGTAGACTAGCCCCGCAACTCACACGCAATCGCGATACTTGCGGATTTTGGTTTTTTCACGTCACCTTACTTTAGATGGATGTTCATCCAAAAACTAGTCCAGTCCAAACAAATTTGGAGGTTTATTCTTCCTTGAGACAATCTCTGAACAACTGGTTATCCACTTTTCCACACGCTTACGCTCTGATAGGCGCCAATCTAAACTGGTGGGAGACATTGTCATTGTGCAGGTTGCCTTATCCAGCAAATCCCGTTTAATATATCGACCAAGCTGGGATTGTAAATTGCTGCGTAGACAAACTCCATCCATTTTTCAAGAGAATGGGTGCTGGTCTGTAACATGTAAGTTTTAGGCGATAATCGAAAGTATCTGTCATAACTGTTGATTCGCCAATCTGCTGTATCTGAGTGCTGACCCGCTCCAGGTCCTAGTGCCGGAAAAAATACTCACAGAATGGAATACAAAAGCTATATTGCGAACAAGCGAGTGCGAGAGCGTGAGTGCGCGCGAGTGCGAAAGTACAACGGTCTTAATCTATTTATTGGAGGGGCACTGTCTAACTTGGTCCGATGCTGTCGCAAACGGTCTGACCTTGGAACGAGGCTGCGACGCGCTACATATTGCGGGGGAGTTGTCTGACCTTAATCAACACTAACTCGCGCTGTCTGGGTTTGATACAAAGCTGCGACGCGCTGCATATTGAGGGGGCGTTGTGTGTCTGGTCAACATCTAGCGGTGCTGAGAGTCTCAGTAGATTTCGGACATTCAGTGGTTGCTTTCGGGGATCTGGCCTTCCTGATAGTATCTCAGTGACTGAATTAACAAGGCCGATTTTTTGTTGAACATGCTGAAGCCAAGTTCAGTCGTAAGGATATTTGACTTTCAACTGGGTAATCAGGTTCGTCGAGGTTCGTGGACTATGCATACCTGATGAGACTCATGAAGGGTAAACTCGGTACCGGGCATTTCAAGTATGTAGTCAAACGTATAGATAGTGAACAGTATTCGTTGTTTACTGAAAACCACTCTTAAGTTTATACCAATCTCCACCACATAACTATAAATACAAGTCAACCACGATGGTTTATTTTCAGTGTCATGTTGTGTTAAGGTGTCCATGATTCTCAGTTTGGCGTGGATGATCTCAGAGCAAATTAATATCTTATTTATTTATTTTTCGTTTATTTATTTTATTCATTTGACCCATTATACGGTGCTAAGATGAACTCGTTTGCGGGGAGGGCGTATAATACGAACCTTGTTCTCAAAAGAGAAGACGGAAACCGGTTTTTTCTCGTGCCAAAGTTGGTGAACGAAACAAAGACATTGTACTCCTTTTATCCGCATTTTCTGGTCTATACAGCCAATACTTAGAAGGAAAGGTGATAGTTCTTACAAGTAGAGAGTCTATTTTGGACGTCTGGAGCGTTTTCAAACGGTTAAACAGCTATGTTGTCGCTCCACACGTAGCTATATAGTTATACTCTGATGATTATACAAAATTTCAGGCTGATAATATACTGAAATTGCAATTTATTGATGGCGAAGATTAAATTTCGAATCAAATTGATTTGATCCCGTCCAATTCGTCTTTCCAAATCTGCAAACTTCTTACACTGTTTTGTAGCAAGATAACAAGCTAGATCTTCGTTTCATTTTGTCAGGAAAATAGAACCCATACCATAATCAATACACTCACCGTGCAGTGAAGTACTTAGATGTTCAATCCTGGGATTTCTGACTGATTAGAGAATATAGCAATTGAATTCAGACTACCCTAGACATGTTCATGAATTTACTGGGTTGCACACCCTTCTGAACTCTTCATTGTGAGCTCACAGTTCTTACACACCACTGCAGCGAGTCAGCGATAGCCACCTTCGTTCTCAAGACTGGTTTGCATGCCAGGAGGGAACTGAGTAGACCAGTCTCCTCTGCAAAGATCGTGTCGAAAAAAGGGAGTTGAACTAAAAGACGGGTGTATGTTAGTCAAACGGATCTAGTACGCCGGTAACAAATATTGTGCACAACTCTATAAACTGGTTTTCCACTAATATACAACCCCATTGAACTCACAATCCATGGTTGATTTAGGCACAGAAAAACTGGTTGGTGAAGTTATTTGTGAGACGGCCTGGATACAGAATCAGTTTTGATAGTAGCTTATATGTTTCTCGTTTCTAATGGAGGGCTTGACTACTTGCTTAAACGGGCCTTGTATTGAGTTATTCTCTCTGCGTGGGACTGCGTACACTTCGGTGAAAAACATTTGAAAAACATTAGTGTCAGTTTCTGTGAGCGGTGTCTTATATATAGAGGGAAGTGGAAATGAGATTCACGGAATTCAGTGCAATCATTCTCATGCCACTATAGAACACAGAAGCCCAATTTGATGAACATTCTGTTAGAAAATTTTATTGGAATCGATCAGATGTCTGGTTTCATTGCCCTGAGGTAATTTAACCTAAAGTTGGCAGAATATGTCACCCAACCATGTGTCCATTTAGTTTGCGCTTTGATGGGCAGGAGTTCGCGGCGGGACCCTTGGTCGCTGATCTATCGCTCACAACTCAGTTCATCTGGCTGGACAGGCAGTATGAGGCAGGCATTTTACAGGTATTGGGAGCGGGCAGTTGGGAAGGTGGAATGTACTACGTGGCCTGTGATCGGATTGCAAACCTACCTAGGCTGATTTTTGACATTGAGGATGACAGCGTTTATCTTACTCCGGATGAATACATCCTAAAGGTAAGCTGAAAACAGCGAATAAATATCATTCGATTACATTTTTATTCCGTGGATAACGAAGGTTGTTCTACCGCAATGGAGTCGAAATGACTTCAAGACTGCCCTAAAGTTTTCCAGTAACTTTTGACCGATTCCATTCAATACTAATGTGAAAGGAATCGATTTAAACTGTTAGAGGTTTCTACCATCAAGCATGACGTAGTAGTCGCCTTTCAACACTCTCAAACCTACAAAATTCAGTAAAATCTTTGAATTGGTTGGATAATTCAAGTCTGAGTCTGGAAACCTGAGGTTCACGGTGGGGAAATACGGCTTTTTTCCATAGCTTACACCAAGTATCTACTGAAAATAGTAACTAGTGTCATTGTATGCAGAAACCTGCTTCCGACCTGATTGTAGCGGATTCCGGCAAACGACACCTACGGCTTAAATATTCTGACCCACCCCGGGGTCCGACTTGAACCGTGAGTATACAAATTCTCAGATGATTCCGGCATCTGCATCCATTGGAATCATGTTTCACAATATGACCATCAGTTTGCCGGTTTGGTTTAATTCAGGACCGGACCATCGGCCTACTGGCGAGGTTGCAGGAAGAATTAATGTGGCAAAACTGATCGATTTGTCATTATTTCCTGAAACACATGCTGTCAGTTGTAGAGTAACTGACAGAGGCCCTCATGGTCACTGGCTCGAATCTGTGTGTTATGATTGGTTGTGACTTAGTACGTGTTATATCTGCTGATTTGTCAATCTGTTGCTGACCTGCTCCAGTGCCTAGTTGCCGGAAAAAAGACTCACAGAAGGGAACACAACAGCCATATTCCGAACAAGCGAGTGCGAGAGCAAAAGTTACAACGGCCCCACGCTATCTAAAGGGGACTTTCTGACATTGATCCAGGCTGTCTGATAGGCGTTAGTGAACA